TATCACCACCATCATCATCATTATCACGCCCGTACTTCTTGCAGTGCTTGGGCATCCGACCTGGGTGCATTTGTATGCAATTTGCGGTTGCTAGGAAACGGCAGCGCATCAGAACCCCCGTCTCATTAAACGCCGGTGGTGGTTTGACCCGACTCTGTGCGATTATGGGGATGTGACATTTTCTGTCTGGCAACAGTTTTCTCTCTCTCAGTGTTACTCATGCAGGGGGCGGGTGGGGGGAGCATCGGAAATTGCAGAATTGTAAATTTTTGGTGAAAGGTCCAATCTGTGGGTGTATTTAATTACACAAACGAAAAAACCAGGCGCTGTGGGGCAGAAGTTGGCATGGACATGTCTCAATTTAAGTAAAAAAAAAAGAGAACTTTTACGGATTTTTTTTGTTATAGAAAACCTGATGCTGCTATATGGTGGGATGGTTAGCACACTGGAACTTGCAATCCAGAGGTCGCAATCCACCACGTTTTCCACTCCTCCGCACTGCCCATGTTCGATCTTCCCACATCTGTCCACCCAGCAATTTGTGTGTGTTTGTTGAACTTTCGCACCGTACGTAGCCAACCGTGCTAATCGGAAATGCGGCGGGAAGGACAACAAACTAACACACAAAAATCAGTTCCAAAGAAATGAGCTTTCAATCTAGATTTTAAAGTGCACAGCTGCAGTGACTTCCTAATATCACGAGTGCGTTCCAGACGGCCGCAGAAGTGCACCTGAAAGCGCGCGATGCAAGTGACCGTCTTTGTTCGATGGCCAGCCAAAACGGTTCGATGGCTCAGAACGTGATGAGGTGAAGAGTGGGGGGACCAACCCCTTATCCGAGCTGTCTGGCTGGCCTGGATGTCTCGCGGGGGAAGGGGGTTGATTCTTCGCGATTGTGGGAAACCCTCCATCCGTGTTCTTATTGACCTTGCTGTCGTTTCAGATTTTCCTTTCGTCATTTCCCCCAGTTTGTATCCTGATTGCGCTGTCGCCCTCATGCAATTGGATGACGAACCCCACTCGCGAACTCCGACAGAGCAGTGCGTCGCCAAGTCCATTGAATGAGACTTTGTAGAGCTGCTTTAAAGCATCTCTGCCGGTGACTTCTTGTGGTGGCGGTAGCGCATGCCTGTGATCCAGCACTCTGGAGGCGAGGGTTGTTGGATCATGAAAAATGTTGTGAAACTCTTTTCCCGTGGGCGAGGAGGTGACGTATCCTGGTTTTACGGGAGAATGCGGTACATCATGTGGACTCATCTCTGTCCGTTTACATTTGTTCGGGGATATGACATCGCCTCTTTGTGGGCGTGGATTTTCTACCGGGCGATCCGGTGTCATCCCACGTGTATAATAAACATTCGTCATGAATTGGCTAAAAACATCTTTGAAAAACAAACCAATGCAGGACCCTCTTGGGAAAAAAAGACCTTGGGCACAAAGTGCCATTATTGGATAAATAAATAAAAAATACTTTAATTATTATTATCCATACTCGCGTAGAACTCTCCCCTCTCGCTACAGAGAGATGTTCACAACGTGAAAGTCAAATCTTCCCACGCAATGCCACTAATGGGGGTTGTTTGACCATACTTCACCACGCTGGCCAATGTGCAAGAGGGCGTGGGACGGAGGGCTAGACCATTTCCGACATCACTCGGCGCTGATTTTAGGTGCTACCAGGTATCGAACTCGGGTCGCCGCGTTCATAGGGCAGTGCTCTAACCAGTGAACCACCAATAATGTGCATGTTAGATTGCATTACGTGACTTAATGGGATCAATGGTGAGAGAGAGAGATGTGTGTGTGTGTGTGTTAGCGGCTTAGAACTCAGCGGTGCATTCACTGGAGAGAATTACGCGAACTCACAATTCGTTTGCGTGCACCGGCGGGCTTGTGCCAGGAGACGCGATCCGTGGCGTGTCACCGTGCCCAGCAATAACCGCGCTGCATGACCGGTCGTACCGAAATCTCCGCTCTGCCGCTCCGCCGCTCCGCCGCTCCGCCGCTCCGCCAAAGCCGTGCAGCCACCGCCGTGCCATCTGTAACGACGTGGCACCAAACTTGCCAAAACTCGCCATGCTACAGCCTCGTTTTAAATAACGCACCGCGTGCCGATTGTCGCGCGATGCCACGGCATCCGTCCTGTGTCATGCAAAGCCCCCTGGCCCACACGCTGTCGCTCCCTGCTGAGCATCCTCGCTGGCAGACTCAGCAGAATACACCCCCCCCCCCCCCCCCCCCAGGTGACTTTATTGCTTTATTGAGCCCCCAAAATTCTCCGTGGTGGTCACACGGTGACTTTTAAGGCCGGTGCATAGAACGCGTCGCTGCGAAGATGTGCACTCTAGTCTCGTGCTTTGGAATGCAATTCAGGTTTTGCTCAAAAATTGTGAGCAACTGAAATCAACATCGCTCACCGTTGTGTGTGTGCAGGCGCGCGCTAATTGTGCTCTCGACTACTTTCATTCGGCGGACTGTGCTCGAGTGTTGTCGGTCATGGCACCTGACTGAGCAGTTGTCATTGTACGCAGCCGAGTATAGGCCTCGTGGAGACCAAATTTACTGGTAGGAACCACCTGGTTCCACCAGCCCACAGGGGATTATTGTGTCCGTCCGTCCGTCGTGCATCCAAAAATGGGAGGGGTGGGGCTGGGTGGAGAGGGGAGGGTGGGGAGGGGCTGGGTGGGGAGGGTGGGGAGGGGATGGGTGGGGAGGGGAGGGTGGGGAGAGGCTGGGTGGGGCTGGGTGGGGGGTGGGAGGGGTGGGGCTGGGTGGGGTGGGGAGGGGCTGATCACCCCGTGGTGCCCTTATAAAACTCAACGTTTAACCTACTCACGCCGGCTCGCGCCCGCCCTCACAGTCGGGCATATTTGCGGAATACACCACGCCGCCGTTGACCCTGGCCATTGACCGAGCAACCCAACGTTCCTACCAGCTCCCTCCGCAGCAGGAATGTGTTTATCACACCGAGAGCCACTGGCGAGAGTTGATGAACTCACGACGCCTGCAGTCTCACCACCCTGCAACTGAATTCCCAACAAATCTCAGGCACTTAGCACACGGCCAGTGGTCTGCACGTCGAGGATTCGTAGTTATATTGCGGTTTTTGTTGTTGTTGAAATGTAAAACGTTTTCCTCGCTCAATATTATATTCCCTATTGCGCTATTGGTGTCTTGTCTTGAGATACAGACATGTCCGTATGAAGCCCTTGCAGTGAACATTGTACCTCCTTGTTTTTTGGAACAACAGCCCTCGAACATGCTGTCGCACGAAACCATCGGGACCGAAGTCACTTGGATAGACATCTTCATCCACACCTCCTGTCGTCCCTGAAAATCACGTTTGTCACATCAATCAACACCGCGATGTTCAATTACATCAAAGCAGGAATAAGCATGCGGTAATTAAATGAACGGAGAGCGCATTTGATGATTTGATGAAGACGGGCGTGGTTTTATTTGTTTTGGGCGGTCGTTCAGCGAACGGGCCGAGAGACCGTCAGCCCCCAGTGGCAGGGGACAAACCCGGGGGGGAGGGGGTCTCATCCCATTGGTGCTCGCTCGCTGCTCCCAACATCGGTGACAAACCCCCAAGCGCCGGATGATCCTCGTAGCCAAAGTAGCTACACGTGTAGTAGCTACTACACGTGTAGTAGCTACGGGCCCCGCACTTTCAAGGGCCCCGCGCTAAATTCTTGCAAGCTATCAATTCCGGTTCAGTGATTCTGCACTTACTTTATTACTATAGTACTATACCGCCTTCGACTTTTATGAACGATGAGTGTTTAAGGTTAGCGATTTGTCGTATTATTTGGCTGCATAGCAATTGAAAAAATACAATTACATTACTGTGCAAGTGAAAAAATTGTGTGTTAATATTTACGTGTTTTTTTTTATTTAGGGCCCCTTTATAGAATATGCTACAGGCCCCGCAATAGCTTAAACCGACAGACACTGCCCCCTCCCCACCCCCAGAGCCACCTGGTCTTAACAGCAATTTTGATCAAACCTATTCAACTTCTGTGAAAAGGGAGAGAAAAAAAAAGCAAACAAAAACCAACCCCATTTAAAATGTTAATTCACTTGTGCTGAATTTGAACAACTCCGAAATCAGCTGTCTGCCGACTGCTCATCTTCCATGCGGTCTGTGACGCCCCCACCACCACAACCACCGCCACTACCACCACCCCACCACCACCATCCCCACCACTACCAACACCACAACCACCACCACCATCCCCACCGCCACCACCACCACCATCCCCACCACCACCATCCCCACCACCACCACCATCCCCACCACCACTACCACAACCACCACCACCATCCCCACCGCCACTACCACAACCACCACCACCGCCACTACCACCACCCCACCACCACCATCCCCACCACCACCATCCCCACCACCACTACCACAACCACCGCCACCACCACCATCCCCACCGCCACTACCAACACCACAAACACCACCACCGCCACCATCCCCACCACCACCAACACCACAACCACCACCACCACCACGTCGTCCCCCATATCCTCCACAATCGCTAGTTGCCCCCCCCCTCCCCCGTGTCTCACTCCCTGCACGCAAGCACCCAGCGTGTACCGCCCTGCGTCACTCACGCTCCCCCCCCCCCACTCGCACCCCCACTCAACCCCCCCCACTACCCCCCACTCCCATCCCCCCACTACCTCCCCACTCCCACCCCCCACTCCCATCCACCGACTCCCCCACTCCCCCCCCCACTCCCCTCCCACTCCCCTCCCACTCCCACCCCCCACTCCCCCCCACTCCCACCCCCACTCCCCCCACTCCCCCCCCACTTCAACCCCCCCACTGCCCCCCACCCCACTACCCCCCCACTCCCCCACCACTCCCACCCCCCACTCCCCCCCCACTCCCACCCCCCCACTGCCACCCCCCCACTCCCCCCTACTCCCCCAAACCCCCCCACTCCCCACCCCCCCACCCCCCACCACGTGCGTGGCTCGCAAAGCGTCCGTGGAGTCGTGCCTGCTGCACGGGCTGCGGCGCCGCGCCGCGGGCTTCCTGCGCAGCAACAAAGTGGCGGCGCTCTTCCTCAAGGTGGGCAAGAACTTCCCGCCCGCCTCCGAGCTGTGCCGCCGGGTGCAAGAGATGGAGCTGCTGGTGGAGAGCAGCAGGTGCGCCCCCAGCGGAGAGGGGGGGGGCGGCTCGCGTCTGTATTTGGTGGGGGGTGTTGGGGGGGTCAGTGCCGGATGATCCTAGTAGCTAAAGTAGCTACATAAGTAGTGGCTACACAAGTAGTGGCTACATATGTAGTGGCTACACAAGTAGTGGCTACATAAGTAGTGGCTACATATGTAGTAGCTACACAAGTAATAGCTACACAAGTAGTATCTACACATGTAGTAGCTACACAAGTAGTAGCTACATCTTCTTGGTTCTTTCGGTAAAGTCACGTAGAAGGGAAATAAAATAATAAAAATAAAACATAATAAAATAATTATCACGACGTTTCGGCCACAACGCAAGCAGCCGTCGTCAGGTGAAGAACAGGTCTGTCGGAAAGACAGCGTCTGAATGAACACCACCAGGCTTGGCAGCGTATATTTAAGCTGGGTTGGAGGGGGAAGAGCGCCTTGACAAAGGAATTTGTGACTTTACCGAAAGAACCAAGAAGATTAATCCCTGCAGTCACGAAAGCTTTAAATCAAAATTTAGTAGCTACACATGTAGTAGCTACGGGCCCCGCACTTTCAAGGGCCCCGCGCTAAACGCTTTCAAGCTATCAATTCCGATTCAGTGATTCTGCACTTGCTCTATTGCTATAGTACTATACCGCCTTCAACTTTTACGAACGACTGGGTGTTTGAGGTTAGCGATTTGTCGTATTATCTGGTTGTATAGCAAATTAAAAAATACAATTAATTCACTATGCAAGTTAAAAATTTTTATTTTTTATTTTTTTTAAACGTAGGGCCCCTTTATAACATGTGCTACAGGCCCCGTACCACCTTACTCCGGCACTGTGGGTGCGAGATGGTGGTAGCCTTCTCACGGCAGCGCCCGTTCACGTGGTTGTTTTTTCGAGTCACCGTAAACACAACCGCAAACGGACGCCGTTGATTCGAATCCAGGTGCGGTCGGTAGAGCTAAATGCCGAATAAAAGGCCCAGTTGAGGTCCAGAAAACCGATGGGTCGCGGTCTCTCCCAAGCGGACCAACTAAGACCCTGAAAGGACTCTGAACACCTTAACCGGTGACTTCCTAAACATTGCCTCGCCATCCTCAGCAGGCGGCAAGGCCTAAGGGATCAAATGCTTTAAATTCCACCGCCGGAAATGGCGGCACGTCGACCATAACTGCCGCAGGTGATCACGTGACGGGCATCTATATATAATCTGGCTGTCGCCTGATGATGCCGGTTGTAATTACTGGCGAAACGTCGTACTCGGATTGTAAATGTTGTGGCTTGGCTCTCCAACACACCGGTGTGCTGTACCAGTGACGAATTGGCCACGTTCTGTTTACGTGACAAACCTTTACTAGTTGGCTGTGTCAGGTGGTGGCGGGTTTAACGACACATTTATATATTCAAGCGAATTATATTGTAATTGGTTCTTTACCCTTCTATCTGGCAACAAAACTGGCACCCTTTTTGTTGCCAGATAGAAGGGTAAAGAACCAATTATCATATTTTTACTGGCAAATGAGGTCCCCATAGCGAATTATATTGGTCGCGAAAGCTCATTACGTGTTAAACTGTTTGTGTACTCGTGTACATGTGAGCCCCCGAATGAGGAACGGCCACCTCGATCAGCAGCCGCTTGCCCGGCCAGTGGCTGGCCGGTCGATGTGGGTGACATCGATAGCCGCCGGACACAACGGGAACACTCAAAACAATTTACGAGGCCAGATAGAGAGAGAGACGCGAGGAATGGCCGTCGGTGCGGGACGCGTTCCTGACATACGACCCTAAAGAGCCGGGCGCATTCCACTCAGTCCGATGGGAAATGCGACTGGAACCAAGAATTACGCTCCGTCTCAAAAGGATAGGAACGGACAGACACTAATCGCTTCACAAACAATTATGGGTACATTTCCAAAGAGCCGACACAGACCGGCAGTCACGTGCATTGGATTAACCGATACCGGTTAATAACCTCAACACTGCGGCCACGTTGGTACTTTCGCAAGGCCAACCGGCCCAGCAACGAGAAAGACACCGAAGCCCAATTGAACCAAAGCCCTGAAAACTTCCATAAATTAATACAATTTCTGACAACTACCGCGCGAGTCTGCATCACGGCATGTCATCAAACCACGAGGGAAGGTTTAAATCGTTACGGGCTAATGACGACGACGACGACGAAGCTGGTTTTTTTTTTTCCCCGTGTGTGAGAATACGTTTTTTTTCCTTTCCCATTCCCGCAGCGATTCGGTACAGAGCTTCCTGAGCTCGTTGCACGCCTTGCCGCAGGATCTCCACAACTTGGCCGTGGATCCGCTGTACAGGCAAGTGTCCGCTGCGCCTCTCGGCACGCTCCGCCGAACACTTTTCCGCTCTATAACCGAGCCGGGCCCCGCCGGGGTCATCACGACACAGTCCGCCACCGCGGAGACCGCACCGCAAGTCGCTATGGTGCATTCAGCATAAAATACCAACGTCTGCTTCACAGCAGAAGTTGGTATTTTTGTCTCCCTTTTAATATCTAATTTGTGTTGCTTCTCATTTTTCCCACAAGTGTGTGGTTTCTCAGTGGACCCACATATTACATTAGACTCGACACATTCGTCAATAGCACTGTGGCCTTAATAGGAAAAAAATATATAATAGGCAGCGTTTCGGGAGATGGCCCTTCTTAAGAGCGCATGAACAGATAGGTCAGAGAGACAGAGTGGATATAAGAGTTGAGATTTCATCAGCAGGGAGAAGGGGATCTCCTTCACGGAAGAAGAGGAGGAGGAGATGCGGAGGGTGGTTCGACTTGAGTTTTTTTCTTTCTTGCGAAGAAGTTCCGTGACCCGATCTCAGCGGGAACAATGTGCAAAAGTAGTATTAACCCAGGGCGTCCTGCTGGATTCGAACCGCAAAACCTCTGCAACAACCAACGAACGCGCGACCGTTGGGCCATGGCATCGTCCTCATCCCCCCCCCCCCCCCATCTGTTGCCGCTCGGGGCCAGGGGGCTCCCCCCCCCCGTGTCTCCCCCCGTGTCTGCCCCCCCTCCCCCCGTGTCTCCCCCCGTCTCCTCCAGCCAGCGGGCCTTGGAACAGTTTAACCACCCCCCCCCCCCCCCCCCCGTGGGACGTTGATCGCTCCCTGGCCAAGACATCGCTTGACAATCCGTAGGGTTAGCAAAATGGGTTTCGCTTTTGGGGCCGTCCATAAATGACGTCACGCACATGGGAGGGGAGATGGGGGGGTCAGACATTTGTGACGATGTGTGACGATGGGGGGGGGGGGGTTGAGAAATGTGACGTCACATCAAAATGCGCAACTTTAAATAAATATAAACACGTTCTATTTAATTAAATAGACTTTTTAATAAATGTTTTCTCCTACAACATCAGAGTGCAGCGCCACATTAAATACGCACTACAATGACAATAGTTGAAAGCGATTTGAAGCATGTTTTATTTTTTGGGGGGGGGGGCAGACCTTTGTGACGTCATATTTGAGGGGGGGGGTCTGACTTTTTGTGACGCCGTGTGACGAAAGGGGGGGGGAGGTCAAAAATCGTCAAAAATCGCGTGACATCATCTATGGACGGCCCCTTTTACCCAAGGCTTGACTAAAATACATTGCCTAGAGCCCATCGGTTATCCTTGAGAGACCCCTTGTGAAAGCAGATCAAACTCGCTGTAGGGGATACCCGGGCTGACACGCTCTGACACCCACGATCGGTGTGGTCCCCTTTCAACCGCTTTGCCCCCTCGTCCTTACAATTGTCCTCAGTAATTGTTGTGGCAGTGGCATCTGGTAGTGCCAGCATGGATGGTCCCCCCGGTTGACGGATGAATTGGCGGTCACACGTCGGTGAATTTAAGGCCGGTGCATAGCTGCCCGTGTTGTTGGGGAGAAATGCATCCAGTATATAATCCTTTGCAATGCGGTTAAGGTTTCTGTCAGGTTGTGAGCGACTCAAATGAAATATCGCTCTAGCTATTGCGCTCTTGACAACTTCCATTGGGTGGTCTGCGCGCGAGTGCTGTGGATCACAGCACCTGGCCGAGTAGTTTTCAATGTGCGCATTTGAGTGAAGGCTCACGGAGACCAAATTGAATCCACACGGATGTTGAACTTATTTCGCACCGTACGGAGCCAGCTGTGCCAATCGGAGGTGCAGGGGGGAAGGTATTGGTAGCGTACCGGTTAGCGCGCTGTGAAACGAACCCAGCGACCCGAGTTCGACGATTTTCTCAACCGGTCAAGGGCCTCCCCTAGGTCTACTCAGCCTCAAATAAGTACCCGGTGCGGTGTGTAGTAAACATCGCCACGGGGGCGAGACAAAGGCGGCTCGGGCGTTGTGCTGCCTGCCCACCCGCTTCGCATGCCGTGCCGGCCTTCATGGGTGCTGCTCGCTAACAGCACTTGCCCCAACAGTCTGTGAAGGCTACACGGGGTGTGGTGTGGGGTAATCTTTGTCTTTGTGTGTGTGCGCGTGCCTCTATCTGGGGGGGGGGGCAGGAGGGCGTCGGGCCGCGAGCCCATGAAGCGGCAGACCAGCGCGCAGAAGAGCGCCAACCTGTCCCCCCAGGCGATCCGCCACCTGTGGGTGCGCACGGCGCTCTTCGAGAAGGTGCTCGACAAGGTGGTGCTGTACCTCGTCGAGAACGCCAGGTACGCCGCCGCCACCGCCACCGGCACCGCCACCACCGGCACCAGCACCACCACCGCCGCCACCACCACCGGCACCGCCACCGGCACCGCCGCCACCACCACCACCGCCACCACCGCTGCCACCACCACCACCGCCGCCACCACCACCGCCAACACCACCACCACCGGCACCGCCACCGGCACCGCCGCCACCACCACCACCGCCACCACCACTGCCACCACCACCGCCACCGCCACTGGCACCGCCGCCACCACCACCACCGCCACCACGGCCGCCACCACCACCGCCGCCACCACCACCGGCACCGCCACCGGCACCGCCGCCACCACCGCCACCGCCACCGCCGCCACCACCACCACCGCCACCACCACCACCACCACCGGCACCACCACCACTACCACCACCGGCACCACCACCGGCACCGCCGCCACCACCACCGCCACCACCACCACCACCACCACCGGCACCACCACCACTACCACCACCGGCACCGCCACCAGCACCGCCGCCACCACCACCACCACCGCCACCACCACCACCGGCACCACCACCACTATCACCACCGCCACCGGCACCGCCACCGGCACCACCACCACCACGACCGCCGCCACCGCCGCCACCACCACCACCGCCACCGCCGCCACCACCACTGGCACCACCACCACCACCACCGCCACCACCGCCGCCACCACCACCACCGCCGCCACCACCACCGGCACCGCCGCCGCCACCACCACCACCGCCGCCGCTGCCACCACCGCCACCACCACCACCGGCACCATCGCTGTGCTGAGAAGCGCCGCTTGATCTCAAAATTTGAAAAAAAACACAACGGAATCCCGCCGCTGTCGAGAAATCGTGCGGCGCCCAAGAGTACAAAACGCGTCGTCCTCGCCGACCGCAGGAAGCTTTGAGGGGCTTGGGGGGGTGGGGTGGGGGTCTGGCAATGGCTGCAATGCTTTCATCCGAAATATGTAAAAAAACAATGAAAGATAGAACAATGGTTCTCGCTTTTAATTTTAGTTTTGCTGCTTAAGGCTCTACCAAAGTAAAACAACTGCAATCTTAGATTTTGGGACGGTTTCTGAATGACACCAGGCTCAAACATGTTCATGGGGCACTTCAAATCGAGATTTGGGCGCCTTCAAATGAAAAATCTCGGATTTTTCAGTTTTTCTCCTGTTGTTTGTGGCCTAAAAGCTACCGATGTAGCACAATTCGGATTTCTATCTTGTCGGGAAGTACCCTCGAGGTTGTTGAGACATACAGATTAAGGTCTTCATTTATAGATACCGTATAAACCATGCCGGACGAAAAGGGATTATAACGAGGCCAAATAGAATCGATGCGTCATTGGAATGACGAGCCCCGACTCATAACATTGGTCGGAATTGGTGCACGCGTTGGATCGATTTAGAATCACAATTTTGAATTCATACCGGAGGAATCCGCTGTTCTACAAAGCTCTCATAATTTTAGATTTGAAGTTTTCGTGACTGCAAGGATCCATACTCTTTGGTTTTTTCGGTAAAGTCGCGTAGGTAAAAAAAAAAATAGAAATAAATTAAATCACGACGTTTCGGAGGCAACACAAGCTTCCGTCTTCAGGTGGCACCGTCACAGCAAAATTACTGTTACAGTAATTTTACCTACGTGACTTTACCGAAAAAAATCAAAGAGTAAAGCTCTCATAACTTTTCGAGTAACGCGACTGTGTTGATATTCTATGCACCGACGTACAGTTTTTGTCTATACATTGGCTGCTACTGCTGATGATGATGCTGCTGCTGCTGCTGATGATGATGGCGACGCAGCCTTTTCATTAACCCGAGCTGCTGACACCATCATTCCACCCTTTTAATTGTTTTTCGGAATATTTATTGAATTTTACAAATGAAGTAATTATGAAAAAGTAATCAGCGGGGTGCATGTTAAATAATGGTAATCTTATAACAGACTTAACGTGGAGTAATAATGCATATATTCGTCTTCAGTAATTTTAATTAAGAGTCACATGCTTAGAGATGCTCTTGTATTAGAGTTCCTAAAATAATGAAATACGGTAGTTATCCTGAAATCCTTAAACAGTGCGTCTAATCACCAGCTCCGCTCGGAGAGGCATGTGCTAATGAATCAATTAAGATCTCATTTTATGCTCACAACACACGAGTTGAATTGACTAAAAATCAATTATTCATGATTGATGCAAATGATAACCGTGCGCGAATGTTACATTTGTGCCCATGTCATGAATGTGTGTGGACGCCGAATATTATAGAACCTGTGATGGAATTCACAGGGGCAGGGCGTTGAATGGTGGTGTCTTTATTTATTTCTGTGTTGAACTTCTTTCGCACCGTAAGTAGCCGACCGTGCTAATCAGAGGGCCCGCAAAAATCAGTTCTAAAGAAGTGAGTTTTCAATCTAGATTATTTAAAAGTGCATAGCTCCAGTGTCTTCCTAATATCGGAAGGAAGAGCGTTCCAGACGGCCGCAGAAGCGCATCTGAGAGCCCGCGATGCGGTGACCGTCTTTGTTCGATGGCCAGCCGAAAGCCGCTGCGAGGATGACCGGAGTTCACGTGGTGGTTTATGCCACAAGTGAGCGTCGACTTTGTCTGCAGTGTGCGTTGTTTTGCTCGAAGCGTATCATCACTGCTCCCCTGTAACGCCGAGTGCTGTTGTGTTCAACAGCGTCTACTATGAGAAGGACGCCCTGCTCGCAGACCCCGTGGAAGGACAGCTGCTGGCCTCCTTGTTGGGTGAACATCTCTCTTACGTTCTACGCATCACAGCGCCAGCTCCATCGCCAAACACATACGTGTGCCCGTGCATGAGACCGCATGCGTGGTGCTTGTGCATGCATGTGCATTATTGTGCGCGTGTGTGGATATGTGGTGGGTGGCGCCTGTCTGTCTGTACGCGCGCGCGCGCACGCAGTGGGTCCGTGTGCGCTGGAGTACACGCGCATGAAGACTGCCGACCACTACTGGACGGACCCCTCCGCCCAGGAGCTCGTGCAGCGACACCGCATCCACAGCCCTCGCGGTGGCCGGGCCGAGTCGCCCTCCAAGCGGCCAACGCTGCACGTGAGACTCGCACAAAGACAACGACACCCCCCCCACCCCCCCCGTGCAGCCTCGACAGGCCGTTAGCGAGTACCCTGTGATGGCCGGCACAGTAGACCGCGAGGGGGTGGGTGGCCAACCCCGCGCCCGGCCGCCTTTGTCTCCCTCGTGGGGATATTTACTCACACCGCACCAGGTACACATTTGAGGCTGGGTCGACCTAGGGGAGGCCCGGGACCGGTTCAAATAATCGTCACTCGTGTTGGCCGTGAGCGGGAATCGAACTCGTGTCGCCGGGTTCATAGCGCTATCCGCTACACTATCGCTCCCCTTATACATACACATACACACACAAATACGAACGCGTAAAAAAACAAAGATCTGGTTAGGCTTTTTCACCAGTTATGTCCATATCGTCACTGATTGTTGTGCACGCGAGCGGGAATCGAACTCGGTTCGCGACGTTTGTAGCGCGGCACGCCCAACGCTCCACGACTACTCCACCAAACACGCGCACAACGGCAGCCACGACCACTGAGCCACGCAGGTTCAGGCGGCACCGGTCCAGCTCCCGCCAGAGGAAATGGCAGCCTCTCCTCCGCAGTGAGCATTCGATTCAGTCCACACGGCCAAATGTAGGGGTTTCCTGCTGTTTAGAAATGAACCCTGAGGGGAGGGGCACAGTTTCCTGGCTCCACCAGATGGGGTTTGGCTAGAATACTTCGTAGATGCCTTGTCCGCCCACCCCCAGGGCCTCCGGCACAAGCTTCCTTTGGTGTTTTCTACATCGTTTTTGGCTGATGCAATTTAAGGTAGAGGGGTCATTAACCCCTCGCATGGAACATTTACCCGCACATGGAGAAATACACGCACATACCTATGCCCAAATCCTCTATCATGTGCCCCATCTCGTCAGATATCATGAGCTAAGCAGGTCTCAGTCTGGATAGCGTGCACAGCAGGTTTATCATTAACCAGCACAGACGTCATGACAAACAACAACAATAACACCAACAACAATAACAACTTCTTGGTTCTTTCGGTAAAGTCACGTAGAAGGAAAATAATAAAATAATAAAAATAAGACCTGTTCTCCACCTGAAGACGGCTGCTTGAGTTGTGACCGAAACGTCGTGAGAATTATTTTATTATGTTTTATTTTTATTATTTTATTACTTCCCTTCTACGTGACTTTACCGAAAGAACCAAGAAGATGAATCCCTGCAGTCACGAAAGCTTTAAATCGAAACAATAACAACAATAACAACAACACGCAACAACAATAACACCAACAACAATAACACCAACAACAATAACAACAACACGCGCGAGACCCAGGAAACCCATCGCAGGGCAAATGACTCACTTGGAATTCACGTCGCGATTGGTGGCACCCTAACAGTGAAAGCCTGGCAGGAACCCTCCTGAAAAGAACAAAAACGTCTCGAGCCTCGGCGAGCCGTCCCCTCCCCCACCGTCCCGGGCGAACGAGCGTTGACGATCGTGATTCATCCCCGCTACTTGCATACAACGGGCGCGTGTGCGACGCTGCGTTGAAGCCGCGTTTTCCCGTCTGCTCCGCCCCAGATCAAGAAGCGGCAGTCGAGCGCGGGCAGCGTGTCGGAGGACCGACCGGTGACGGCCGCGCGCGACTACGTGGAGTCGCTGCACCAGAGCGCTCGCAACATCCTCCTCTACGGCAAGAACAACGTCCTCGTGCAGCCGGTAGCGCCACGCACCCACCCACCCACGAAGGGGGGCCAACACGCTCGGCTCTGCCCGTTTGCTCCCGCTCGTACCCCCCACCGCTTTCCACCCACGACTACGTTCCACGCGTGTGTACGTGGGGAGCGGTGGTGCAGCGGTTAGCGCGCTGCGCTACAAACCTGGCGATCCGGGTTCGATTCCCGCTCACGGCCAACACCAGTGACGATTATCTGAACCGGTCCTGGGCCCTCCCCTAGGTCGACTCAGCCTGAAATGAGTACCTAGTGCGGTGTGTAAACATCGCCACTGGGGAGACAAAGGCGGTCGGGCGTGGTGCTGACCACCCACTCCCTCGTGTACCGTTGCGGCCTTCATAGGTGCTCGCTATCAGCACTTGCCCCATAAGTCTATTGAAGCTATATGGGGGATCTTTGTCTCTATGTGGAGTGTGTGCGTTGGTTGGGTGGGGGGGAGCAGTGGTGTCGTGCTTAGCGCACTGTGGCATTGCAGGCCATGAATGACATAATTGGCCAGTGAAATTAGAACCTGTCCTGGGCATCGCGTAGATCAACTGTGTTGACATCAGCGCTCGGGAGACAAATGCAGCAAGGCATTGTTCTGACCAAACCGCACCCTCATGCTGGCCTTAATTAGGCGCGAGCGCTTGCCCCAACAGCCTGTAAAGGCTGTGCATGGGATATTTGTATTTGTGGATCAGTGTTGTAGAGATTAGTGCACTCTGACAATCCCAGCTCCGTGCAGGCTCGGAGCTCTGACACGGTACTTGGACTGTTCTCGCAGTGGTTGTGTTTGAGCTTTCGTCGAGTTTGTGACTATTGCTGTTATTGCGGTGGTGGTGGTTGTTGTTGTTGTGCGTGCAGCGTGGGGACGTGGAGCCCGTGCCGGGGTACCTGTCCCTGCACCAGGCCGGCGAGCGTCTCACGCTCAAGTGGACCCCCAATCAGCTGATGAACGGCAGCAGCCCCGATCCCGAACACGAGAAAAAGTAGGGACCACGGGCGCATTCACCGTGGCTGTCTGCCCCGTACCTCCTCCTACTCCTCCTCCCCCCCAACTGCTCTCACTGGCAGGCAACGGCAGTGTCTCACCAACACACGTTTCGATTTTGTTTTAACTCATTATTATAATACTCGATTTAAAGCTTTCGTGACTGCAGGGATTCATCTTCTTGGTTCTTTCGGTAAAGTCGCGTAGAAGGGAAATAATAAAATAATAAAAATAAAACTGAATAAAATATGAACAATTATTTTATCATGTTTTATTTTTATTATTAATATTAAAAATTATTTTATTATGTTTTATTTTTATTATTTTATTATTTCCCTTCTACGTGACTTTACCGAAAGAACCAAGAAGATATTATAATACTGTCACATTAACACATTTTCTCACATGGAACTCTCACAGAAAGTGGTGTGACGTCGTATCATGTCAGAGGGCGGGCACGATGGAAATCCCTTCAGTCGCATTTTTACTTTATCTACACTTGGCAGCGTTCCTTCTCACGCGGCCCGCTTAGAGCGGTCTTTAATGCACAGACATCAAAACTGGACACGCATACCTTCAAGCTACGAAAGAGATTTAATACGCGTAGGCATTCGCAACCAATATCATCCACAAGAGGGTTTTTTGTTGGGGTTAGATCGCGATCTAACCCCAACAAAACCCCCCAAAAAATGTTATATCCATTTTTGAGCTCAAACACGATGGGTCTTTTTGTGTTTTTTGGTGACCAGCCCCTTTTACGCGAACATTGAAGAGCCACTCTGCCTGACAGCACGGGATTAATGTGTGGCTGAAACGCAGCGTTAAACCCAGGGCCCCGGTTTAAACCGCTGGCTGTGCGCGCCAGCTATGCGGTGCAAGATGAGGGGAGTGAGGTGGTGGGGGGGTGGTCGCGTAGATTTTGTGAAACTCCCTCACTCGCCGGGTGGGCTGCAAGGTGGCCAGAAATTTGCAGCGCAGAAAGTGGGTTCACGAGCACATCTGTGAGAACCTTTGATGCCAGCAGACCTGCGGCTCGGTGATTCACGCAGCGTTTAGTCCCCTTGAGTCTCCTGGCCACCTTAACTATCATAAATCGGCGCCGTCTAGAAGTTGGTAATTTAGTCGTTACCGCATTAAAGATGCTTTTTAACACTTGTTATTTTGTGGATTCTTTGTGATTGCCGGCGCTGTGACTACATAATGTCGTTTATGATTATTTTGCCTGTATTTACGATAATTTATTCACAAAATGTTTACCCGTACCTGGTAAAGAGTTGCATTTTCTTGCAGCGACATCGTAGCGTTGTTCAGTGCTGTGTGGTGCTGGCAGTGGCAGCAGTGGTGGTGGTAGCATTGGTGGTGACGGGAGTGGTGACGTTTATGATCACGGTGTGAGTGTTCATGTGTTGGGCGTGGTGGCATGATGGTTGTAGAAACACCGCTGTCATGGCTTGCTTAGGGACGGTGGTGTTCATGACGGTGGTGGTACAGCAGTTTGTGGTCATTGTTGGTGAAGTTTGTGGTGGTGGTGGTGGTTCATTGACGGTGCTGGTGTTGGTTGTATAGCAGATGTATGTATTTTGGTGGTGGTGATGATATGATGACGATATGATGATGGTGGTGGTGATCGTGTAATGGTGATATGCTGGTGTGCTCTGTTGCTGTGATTGTGCGCTCACGGCTATCGTGGTCACGTGGTGGTGGTGGTGGTGCGCTCTGCCCAGCGTGCTGTGGGACTACGCCATCACCGTCCACCTGGAGCACATCGTCTATATCCACTGCCACCAACAGCGTGAGTCCCACCGGCCGAGGGCTCTGTCCAAGCTGTGGCCGTACAGGTCACGTCAGAGTCAGAATCCCGAAGAGCTATCAAGCTCTTTGTAACAGATGTTCAGTAGGGGCAGGTCAGGACGTGACAACAACAACAAATAATACAAAAGCGCAATTTGAGTGCAAAGTTTCGGAAAGGTAAACAAATTACTTTAAATAATATATTCAAGTAAAACTTTCAATACTTTAGTTTATCTTACCGGGTAAAATCCACTCAGCTATGAGCTGCTATTTCAGAAGCGACCTGGCCACAAATGACAGCTCAACACGTGGAAAATGTTTCGCTGCCAATCAATAATATGTAGACGCATGTTTCAAATTTGTGTGGAGGGAAAAAAACCGGAGGACCCGGAGGAAGAAAAAAAATCCACGCGACCACGTGGAGAGAGAGAGAGAGAGCGCGAGCACGCTTGCCACGGTGATGGTGCCACCGTGAAACCAGATTGAAGCCAAAGTTGACGCGGGTTTGGCGAATCCTGCCGATCTGTGAAATCCGCCAACCCGCTGGACTGCGCGGTGGCCAGAAGGTGGAAAGCACAGCACGTGGGTTCAATAGCTCACATGCGTGGACCCTTTTGAGTGTTCCAAATGCACACGTGGGATTTCTCTAACCACTCTGGTTACCTAACACGTGCACAGCACCGCATTGGGTGTTTGTCGTGCGTCCTAATGTAGGACACTCCTCCTGAAAAGGAGTATTGAGGGGTCACCGAGCCTCTTCTAAATAAAACACATTCCTGCGGAGGGAGCTGGTAGGAACGTTGGGTTGCTCGGTCAATGGCCAGGGTCAACGGCGGCGTGGTGTATTCCGCAAATATGCCCGACTGTGAGGGCGGGCACAAGCCGGCGTGAGTAGGTTAAATGTTGAGTTTTATAAGGGCACCACGGGGTGACCAGCCCCTCCCCACCCAGCCCCACCCTCCCCACCCAGCCCCTCCCCTCCCCACCCAGCCTTTCCCCACCCTCCCCTTCTCACCCAGCCCCTCCCTCCCCACCCAGCCCCCTTCCTGCAGGACGGACGGACACAATAATCCCCTGTGGGCTGGTGTAACCAGAAGGTTCCTACCAGTATAATGTGAATGTGTGCCAATGTGTGTGTTTAAGAACTGGGGAGCAGCGTCGCAGTGCTTCACACAATCCCATCCAACCGAGATTCAATTCCAGCATCGAAGTCGGGTGAAATTCGAACCCATCCTGGTCCTAACCTTGGCCGACTCAACCTTAAATGAGTGCCAGGTGTGCCTAGTTAAAATCAGGAGACAAAAGCAGTTGTGTGCTGTGCTGGCCCTACCACCACCTCCGTGTACCATTCCGGCCTTAATAGGTGCTCGCTAACAGCCTATCCCTCGACGGTGTCTAAGACTTGCGTGGGGGTGGTGGGGGCGGTGTGTCTGTGCAGCGGAGAGCGGAGGCACCCTGGTGCTGGTGAGCCAAGACGGAATCCAACGACCCCCCATCCACTTCCCCCGCGGGGGCCACCTCCTCTCCTTCCTGTCGTGCCTCGAGAGCGGCCTGGCCCCACGCGGGCAACTCGACCCGCCCCTGTGCACACACATGAGCACGGTACCCACACACACACACCGCACGGGTATAGCACGGCACGGGTACACACACACACAGCACGGGTACAGCACGGGTACAGCACGGTTACACACACACACAGCACGGGTACAGCACGGCAGGGGTACACACACACACATGAGCACGGTACCCACACACACACAGCACGGATACAGCACGGTTACACACACACATGAGCACTGTACACACACACACACAGCACGGGTATAGCACGGCACGGGTACACACACACACACACAGCACGGGTACACACACAGCACGGGTACACACACACACAGCACGGGTACGCATACAGCACGGGTACACACACTCACACACAGCATGGGTACACATACAGCACGGTTACACACACACACACAGCACGGGTACACACACACACAGCACGGGTACACACACACACAGCACGGGTACACATACAGCACGGGTACACCCACATAGCACGGTACCCACACACACAGCACAGGTACAGCACGATTACACACACACAGCATGGGTACACACACACACACAGTATGGTACACACACACACAGCACGGGTACACACACACACAGCACGGGTACACACACACACAGCACGGGTACACATACAGCACGGGTACACCCACATAGCACGGTACCCACACACACAGCACAGGTACAGCACGATTACACACACACAGCACGGGTACACACACACACACAGTATGGTACACACACACACAGCACGGGTACACACACACACAGCACGGTTACACACACACAGCACGGTTACACACACACACACAGCACGGGTACCCACACACACACAGCACGGGTACACACACACAGCACGGTTACACACACACACCCAGCACGCTACCTATACACGCACGCACACAGGCCAGTACATACAGCAGAACCCAATGACAAGTTTGTGGAGTCATTGGTGACCGGACCATCGACTCGCCGCACTCGAGAACCCGATTCCATCCCACTCCCCCGGCTCCATCACGGGCGGTTCTGCCTGGACTCGACGACACCCAGAAGAATGTCTGTCGTAGGTGCCAGCTCGGCCCTTTGATACCCGAGCCCACCCCGAGCCACCTGCGATGACGAGGACGACGAATTATCCCGCTCGGCGCGTGGCTCCCACCCGCTCCCCCCCCCCCCCCCCCCCCCGCGTCTCTCGCCCTCGTCCCAGGGCGCCGTGTTCCCGCCGCTGCGCAAGCGGCTCGGCAGGTCCCACGCCAGCGAGGAGGATCAATCACCGTGCCCCCACGACGGTGTTCCCGTGGCCACGGGGGCCGGTTCCCACGACGGGGTCCCCGGCCACGGGGCCGAGGGGGCCCTCCCGCCCACGCTCGCCGACGACGGCGGCGGAGGTGGAGGAGGAGGAGGTGGGGAAGATGATGAGGTGGCCGACGACGACGTGGAGGACGAGGCGGCGGCGGCCGGCACCGACTACGTGTTCCGCATCATTTACCCCGGATACCGCAACGACTTCAGTAAGACGCCTCGCAATCCCGGGCACGCGGCCCCCCGGGACGAGCGAGATTTGACCCGATGAGACCGTACGGGTGACGCCACTGGTACGGATTCACCCTCACCTGGCAGACTGGGGGTGTGGGCAAACAATAGGGGTTAGCACCCCCCCCCACCCACCCCACCCCACAACTTGAAAATCCAGAGGACAGGGGGTAGGTATTTTGTGTGTAATTTGTTTACACGTAAATCATACTATTAGTCTATTCAGGTCTTCTTTCTGTATAAGCGCTTGACATTAAATATGATGTGCTCCAGACGATAGTACCTAAGATAAACGGCATAGCCAAGGAGGTCGATCACTCGGGGAGGGGGGGTCGACACCACGTATGAGACTCGCATAAATTGAAATAATTTGAGCCGATTTCAATTGTCAAATTAGTTTTTTTTTTCATTGCCTTCAAAAAGGCATTATCTGTTCCGAATCGGCGATGCAAACCCATAACGTTAACGTATTTTATTTCGTTAGATGTTTCATTGCCTTAACAAAGGTAATATCTGTTCCGAGTAGGCGATGCAAACCCACCTCGTCAATGTATCTGTCCTCTTGCCCAGCTACAGCGGCTCCCACTCATAAACCCATGCAGACTTCAGAATCAGACTATTTATTCAGACTGCTGGAGGAATCCGATGAGCTATAAAGCTCTTTTTCACAGATGTCCAGTCGGGGCACGGGGTCAGGACGTTACAGCAAAAACAAGCAATACAAAAACACGACAGGGGTTACAGCGCTGCGACACGTGTGATGTCACCCAGGCCGTGCCTCCGAGTTAGTTTTTGCCCCCCCCGCACCTCCGATTGGCCATCAGGGGTGAGGTTTTGGAAATTTGAAATCGGAGTGCAATGTTCAATTCTTGATTGAAATGTTAAAAGTGTCTCGCCGCTTACAACGAGCGTGGGACAGCGGTAATCTCCGTGGGTTGCCCCTTGAGCACGAGTGGAGGGAATTCCCACAGTGTTATAGCAGGGGCATGTCCATCCCGAGAAAAAACCACTTGTGATGTTCACAAATGTGTTTGCTTGTTTGTGATGATTGACCTCTAAAGGGATGGTGATGATGGGCTGAATTGACTATCGACCAGGAATTGAACTCGCAACCTTACAGCCGTGCGGTGCGTGCTCTGACCCAGCACGATGCGGTTCTGACAGAGGCACAGGTTGTAGTAGCGTTGTTGTTGTGCCATGGTGAGCCAGATGCGGCTTAATCGAAGTGCCTGAACCAATATTACCGTGCAGCTCTCCGATGTGTTTTTTGGGGTTACACCGCACGTTGTTTGGCACGAGGCGTCCCGACGTTCCGCCCCGCGTGCTGGGAGCTTCTCAAGGAACCGAAAAGCTCCGTTCGACTGGGGAATCCCGTTCCTGCAGAAGCTCCCCGGCGCGCCGAGCGAAACATCGGACATCAAGCAGAGCAGCGTGCCGTGAAACTCGAGGAAAGCGGCAGAGTAGCCGCAGCCACGGAACGACCGAGCGCAAAAAAAACCTGCACAGTCGTGATGTTAACGCGACGCAGGCTGCCCGATCGTCGTTATTACTCTTTCTTGTTCGCTTGAAGTGTTTGCGGTCCTCCGAAATGTCGTCCGGATACATTTTGCTTCACACAGCACAGACCACGACAAGCGCCACAAACACCTCAATTCACGTTCGGCCGTGGGCAAATGGGGCTCACAAGATTGATGGACCCTTCACGGATGTTAAGGGCCGTGTAAAGTGAATGTAATCTGCTTTAGTGCAGAATCACCTGAAGGGCCAATCAACATTTTGCCTCAGATATAAAGTCATGAATGTTTTTTTTCCCACTAGGACCCTGGTTTTATTAGTATGCAGGACACACCGTGGCAAAGATAAAGGGACCATTTTTTTGCCATTATCAAAGTATGAAAAATAATAATAGGTTTTACCCTTTGATCGTGGACAAAGAAAGCTCCCATTATATAGCTGCTCCCACGAGCTATAAATGCTCCGATACGTGCATTGACTTTGTGCTGTTCGCGTTTTGGCGTTCTCTGGTCTGACACTGGTCGTGAGACTAGGCCCTAAAGAAGCCTGTCTCTGGTGTAGGCCAATCAGTTTCAAAGACAATGCCCATCTTTTATAATTATCAGAGCACGTTTGTTTGCATGTTTACCACAAGTACGTGTCTTTAATGCGGACTTGATTCCTAGCAAAAGGTTTCTGTTTGGTGTTTGAACATCTCAACACCCGGTTTATTGCCAGAAAGGAGAAAACCTTTTCTTATTTTTCATACAAAAGATGAAAGGATCCAGCTTGCTGTACAATCTGCTTTCATATTGATTTGTGATTCTAGAAAAAAAATCGTGCCCATTAGTTTTTACCATCTTTTGATTACAAATGTATCGTTTAGTGAAAGTCAATTTTTTTTTTACAAATCTGCGCACTCATAACACACGTGACAATTGTCAACATACAGCAGCTGCAGCAGCAGCAATAGCAACACATTTGATCCTGTGCACATTTGGAGCAACCGCTGTCAGCGAGTGACCTCTTGAGGTCAGCTTTGCTCACGAGGCGGGCGGTGTGGCCAGCACCTTGCTTAGTCGGCTCTGTCCTCTTAGTGCTGATGTTGACCACTTATTTGAGGCCGAGCCGACCTAAGAGAGACCCGGGCCAAGGTCAAATGTCATATGTCACCGACAGTGGCGGAGCGTTGATGGCATGGGCCCTGACGCGGGGGATGGACTTGGTCCCCAGGACCTGGGCCTCTCTTGTCCATGGTTCCTCGTCCATATTTGCATCGCCTGGACACTCAACAGCTACGCGACTGGTCACCAATTGATGGCCATTGATAAAACTTGTGTTGATGGAATCATTGCAGAGTGCACTAACCCCAAACGAGACCACTCCACACACACACACACGCGCGTGTGCACGCCTACACACAAACACGCGCACAGTCACGCAGACACACACATGCACATGTTCCTTAAGGAAAACGCACAGGCTGCGGTGTCGAGCTGGAAGGCTGGTATCCCACCGGGCAGCCTTCCCGCAACCCGCCACGATCTTATTTGCAGTTTTTAATTCGTCTCTATTTTTTGTGTTTCAGTAAGCGAGGGGAAGTTGAACTTTAATCAGAGCGTGCCATCGCACAGAGTCAAAAGCAGTGCTGGCTACGAGCACATCACCCACCTTACGCGGCGAATCTCACCAGCGCAAGATGCATCACTGTGCGGTTCAATGCGTCATGCGTGCTGTGGGTAGCGCGGAAAAAAATAACGATATTCAGTCACTCATCCTGCATTCGCCTAACCGACGTTGACCAGTGTGGTGAGATGCAGTCAAATAACCCTCGTTGCCTAGATGGTGCGGGGAGGCCCTCATCCAGCAGTGGAGTGACACATGGCCTCTACACGTACACACGCTGTGGCAAGTATGAAAGTCGTAATGCCGTTTTGTTTAATGTTTCAATTAACTTTAGAGTCCTTTATTAATCCACTGCTGAATAAAGGCTTTCCCAAGTCACGTCAGTCACGACCATACTTCACCAGGCTGATCAATGTGGTTTGAAGGAAATATCAAATTATATATCTGACTAATCTGAACTGCATGGACAAGTAAAAATCCCATGAACTTAATTTTCAGTGCATCCAAAGCAAACGAGTAGAGTGTCTTTAAAAAAATATATAGCACAACAACAACATCTTATATGCCGTGTTGCCCTTTTACATTTCCACAATAACGATTTCAATTGGGTTCGGAGATATGTTCTGTTGTAGTAAAAACCAACGGGAGTGCGTTGTTACATCGCGCAGCGAATGAGCCACGTGACTAAAACCTCAGATCAAACGTCAATTTCCCCCTGCTCCACATTTTTAACCGAGTTTTGTTTGAAACTGTTATGTTTGATTTAATTCTACATCTGACCAGTGTCTCTCTCCTCTTTCCCTATCTCCATCCCCCCTGACCTCTGACCTTGACCCCTTCCACCTCCCCTCCCCCAAACAAAACACAGTCACCATTAACTACCACCACTTATCCAGCAGTTGCATGGGCTCCCAGGCGGAAAGTAGCGATGAGGATGATGAGGATCAGGATGATGATGTGGATGAGATGGTGTCGGACAGTTGGGGGGCAGCACCAGCCGCTAGGCATGCTGGGAAGAGCGCCCAGGGGCGGCCTGTGCTGGCCAATCGGCTTCTGGCCGCCTTGCTCCCAACTTTGCTCTGGCCGTTCAGACCTGCCCAACACGTGACCCCTAACCCCAGTAACTACCCTTCCTTTTCAACTAAGTCATTTTTTTCGGTGTGCACTGAGCAAGCGTCCTTCTCCTTGGTTCGGTGTTTTGTTTCATTTTAATTTACGTTCTTTCTCATATCCTCGTGTCAAACGCAAAGTCGTGGAAGCCAAGTCTCTGTTCAGGTTGATGCTATGCCGGTGGCCGCAATTTTCTGCATCCAACTTTAAAGTTTCTTTTTCATCTCTCGTGTCAAAAAGGCATTTTCCAACTGAGAATTTCACACCGATATATATATTCCCTAAACAATACAAACTTTAATTAACCTTCTGTATGATAATTTAGATAATGGTATTTGAAAGAAGTGCTCAGTCATCATAGTGATGTATCTTGGTAGTTTCCTTGCTTGCCTCTTGCAAATGTGTCCGCATAGAGCAACGTCGAGCTTGTACAGGACAGTTTGGAGCATTTCTCCCTCTCTGGGAACTTCAATACGTTGCTTTAGCTTGGCTGTTAGAGCCCTCGGCATTTACACTGAATCTTAGAAACCCCAAACGTGCTGTGGCAAAGCTTACGACGCATCGACAGCCCTTAGACACCCTGGTTGTGAAAGTATTTGTTTTCATTGTTTTCTATCGATGTATGTTGAACTGCCTTCGCACCGCACGTAGCCAGGCGTGCGGGAAATGTGTTTTTATTAAACTAATTAGTGGGAGTGGTATTATTACTATTATTCACACACTCGTGTTAGCGGGCGCATGCCCTATC